CAAGCAAATCAATTTAGTCTTATACCTCTTCGATCATAATGATCACTGCATGCAAGTGAGAAGAGTTTCGATGAGGTGTGTCCTAAGACATAATCTATAATTCGGTATCTGTAGAGTATAGACAGGCTAAGGAGAAACAATACAAGGGATGTGAAAGAAGGACAGGAAGAGAGAGAGAGAGAGAAAGAGAGAGAGAGAAAGAAGAGTAAGGTAAGATAGACAAAGTAGTGCCAAGGAAGAACTCTTTTATCTGACCGAAAGTTGAAAAAGTGCTTTGTGTGAATTCGGTTACAATCCAAAACATTGTTTATACAGCTGTTAGGTTGTAAGCTTGCAACTTTAAGATTCGAATCTTCAGCTTCCAAAAAAACAGCTTCTCACTCTCTCTTTCTCTCTCTATGTGTGTGCGTATACGTATGTAAAAGCAATAAAGGTGTTTTGGTTGAAAGTCCTTTTTCGGAATCTAATGATGTTATCAATTTAACTATTTACAGATTAGATATGGCCATATATGGTTATCCATATCCAATTATGGTTCACATTTACATATATTAAAATAAGAAATTATTATAAAACTGACTGTAAATAACAAAATGTAAAAATGAAAATTTCTTGTGACTGCCTTGTCTATACGAAAAAAAGATTTTTATTTCAATTATTAGTCGTTATAATAGTATTCTTTTGACAAAAGGTTTTTTTATTTCATTTTGGATAAATATTTTCATCTTTCAATAGTATCCCACATCTATCATTCTTCGATTCAAATGAAAGTTGAGTTTTTGGAAATTTGAAGAAGAAGAGAAGCTTCTTCAAGCTTTCTTCATCTTCAAGCTTCTCAGCTGTTTCCATCCTCTTCCTTTGCAAGCTTTAACCTCTTTACATACATTTATATAACTATATAACTATATATATATACAATTCCATATTCATTCCCTTGAAACTAATCTCTCACCCTCCTCTCTGTGTAGATGATTCTCTTATCCAACAACTCCTTGAACTTTCCCTCTCTTTCTCTCTTACCTTACCATTTCCTGTAATCTACATAGATCTATCTATCTATTGAACTGTTTCATCACTTTCCGTTAAACCGTTATTTCCGGAAACTTGACCGAAATGTGAACGATTAGTTATGCACCTGAGGGTCATATAGTCATCCGTCAATATCTGTCCATCTTATAATTCCATTGCCGTCTGAATACTGTCATCTTCAGCGTCATCATCATCTTTCCAAACAACATCATTTATTTTTGAACAATAGAATGTTAAGAGATGGAGAGTTAGCCAGATATAATGAGGGATATAGTGTACGGATGCCCGGTAGCACAATCTCCACAGAGGGAAATGAAGATGCAATATTCGAGCAAAACCGATTTGTCGTGTCACGGTGATTAGATGATGAATGAGCAACTCAGATGCTCTCCCTATTGCTCCAGCCTGGTTGAATCTTCTTCTCAAGAAGTCTGTCCTTCTCTCTCTCAGCCTATCTCTCTCTCCTAATCCCATTCTCTATCAACCAGACTGTCTTTAGATAATCTCGTTCATTTACATTTTACAATAAGCTCAATTATTTTGGCAACAGTTGTTGAATATTCAAAATTCATATCATCACCTAACAGATAGATGTTTGAAGACACAATCTTCAGAGATTCTCAATTCTTAAAAAAACTGTCATCAATCGTCGTCTCGAGAACGGTCATCATCATCATCAGCATCAGCAGCAGCATTCATCTGTCTTCAATTTGTCTTCAGCTCTAAACGAACAAAACACAACTTTTGTTATTTTTCTGAAGTTCGAACATACTTACATTCCAACAGATTCAGAATACTCTGCACTCAGTCATTGACCTATGCAAAGCAAAACACACAAAATGAAATAACTTTTATTTTTCTCTTTTTAAAACAAATGAAAAACTCACAGTTGTCCGGAGAATGACAAGACTCACAAGGAAAACTGGCTGACTGTCACATCACATATCATCGTTTTTCTATTCTATTTCAGTCTTATTCATCGAATCATTTGCTTCAACTATCGGTCAGACCTCCTCCATTTTCTGACTTGCTTCGTACCGTCTGATCTCATTATCAGAATCAATCAGCCATGTTGCCAATTACGTTGATCAGTGCGCTAGATGACATTCAACCACAGTAAACAATACGTCTCACCAATCACATCTATCTCAAATCATATTAATAAGCAAAATCATTTTCAATTTTAATTTTCACTGATTATCCTAGCTGATGCAATGCGAACTACCTAGATGAAACTGCTTTCACACCATTTTTTTTTCATTCAAAATCATTTTTTGTAATAAGTTGGAAGATGCAACCGGTTTATACGTCTGGACAGTAGCCAATGATGTACCGACGTAAAGCTCACGTGAACCCACGCATTTCACGTACATCAGCACCCACGCGATTAGATTAAAACTAGAATGATCTACATGTAAACGTTTTTGAAAAACTCTTTTCTTCATTTCTCTTTCTCACCACCTCTCTCTCATCTCTCTCTCTCTCTCTCTTTTCATAAAAACGTTTTTGAGGCATTGTAAGAACATATCTCATAATGAGTTGTCTATTGCTGCTATCCAGTAATCGTATAGAAGATGTTAGATGATGAAGTGAAAGATGCTTCTCCTCTCATAGTTTCAATTATTTTGCTTTCACATTGCGGGATGTTGAAGAAGACAATGATATGAAAGAGAAACGAAGTGATTGTTCTAACAAATCTACTGGATAAATGTTTTGTCTTCACCAACTGATATTTTACATCTCTAATCACCTCTCTTCTTCATCTTCAAAAGCTTCTTTTGATGATTCAATTCAAATATTTTTAATTTCAAATTACTGTAATGACATGTTCTCCTCCTCCTCCTCGTCATCATCATCGTCTTCTTCTTCAACCCATTTTCCATATTTTGCATTAAATTATTATTATTATTTTTTGTCATTTCAAACAATAATACGTTTTCTCATCTACCGTATACCCATCTCTTGCTATCTACACCCTTCTTCCCCCCCCCCTTTCTACACAACCCCTCTAACCCACTACATCATCATCCCCTTTCTGTATCTCCCAAAAAAGAAAATCTTATTAGGAAGAGTCGATTGAATGTATTCAAGTTGATGTTTCTTCTCTATCATATCACCACCTTTACCTAATACTGCTGACAATCAACGTCGACAATCCTCATCATTTTCATCTCATCGCTAGATTTTCGTGACAGCGTTGACGTCGACAAATCTATTCTGAAGACATCTTTACGTCATCTTGTAACTCCTACAGATTATCTTCAACTAGGTCATTTTAATTATGAAGTTCACTCAATAATAGATCTTAGTCAATCTCATAATACTATTTCCGTTTGATCAAACAAAGAAGAAAAGCGATATGCCATCCTCCGCCTCCGCCTCCCTCCTTTCCTTTGTAGAAAATAATTTTTAAAAATTCTGAGAGTCTTGCATGTCTTATAGAAGGTATGCTGTCTGTCTTTCTCTCTCTCTCTCTTTCTATGGAAAGTGTGACCGGCTTCTGTTGATTTTACCAAGATGACAAGAAGCGATTGGTGAATTCGATAACCAACGATGTCGACAAGACAATCAGAAGACATTCAGGTCGATTACATAGAAACAGTTTCCAAGTATGAGAAGCTAATTTATCTTATAAAAGCAAACAAACGGAAGAAAATTCAATTAAGAAACACACAAGTCTTATCAAATTAATGGGAAAAAAATTCCGAAAACACATCTTTCCCACTCGTCTCTGATACTGAAATGACTTGCGGACGGCAGCAGCAGCAGCAGTAGCAGCAGCACGCTTAGCATTCCTAATCATAAACTAATATAAAAATATTAAAAAATGTTAGTAAAATGAAATATTTTTTTATATTTGATTTCATTATGAAAATAGAAATAATTGATTGCTCTTTCATTGCCTTGTAAATCAATGCTAGAAAAGTCCAAGACGATAGCTGGCTTGTGATGTTGGTGATGTTGCTGGCGCCACCCCAGAAGGGGCGGTACTCCATGCTTTGTGGGCGTGGCCAAATGGTCGCGTCCCACCAATAGACGTTCTTGGCCACGCCCCATAAGGTTGTACGTCGGAAGAGCAGCAGATATCTTCTTCTTTCTTCTATGTTTCGATTAACAGATTGACAACATCTATTTTGTTAAATAAATATTTATGTGTGATTACGGTAATACAAGTATAAGTTATGTCTGAAAGCTTATAGCTGTAACATTGAATTGATAATGTCGTTGTAAGCTGCTTGATTCGTTGTGATTGCTTCTGTTTCCATATATGTATACTCATGTTACTTCTCAATGTATATGTCTTCATTCTATATTTCATTTACAATACTTTTACTCAATTCGAATATCAAAGAGCTTTCTTTGATTCGCATTCATTCATCATCATTCTCTCTCTCTCTCTCTCTCTCTCTCTCTCTCTCTCTCTGTGTTCGTCGTATTCCACCCGGAAAGCTCTTCTCTCTATCAACTACGATCATTCATTTATTATTTTAAATTTTTTATTGTTTCAAAGATTTATATATGTGTTGAAGTATGCTTTTTCAATCTTTTTCATTTGTTCTTATCAGTTATGAATGAGCCCAGGTATGTTAGTTTGTCCTATTCAAGTATAGTGCTAATCTAACATATTGAGAAAGATACATGGAAACAACCAATTAAGCTACTTCTGAAGCTACCCTTCTAACTTCTACTTCTTCTTCTTCAATCTTATAATCATATTAGAGAAAGCAACTACCGTCTCTACTTTCCAACAGACGTTTTTTCAACCAATGAGTTTGATGGATCAAATAAACAAACAAGACATCCAACAATTGGCCTTACTCTTGAACAATCTGACAAGTCTTTGTCTTAAACTATCAGAACTTGAAATTTATTATTCTTTCTTCAATCTCTTAAACCAAACGTTCATCTCTTCCTTCTTCCTTCTTGATTTCTCTTTACATACACAATACCTTATAAACATTTTTATAGAAATGACGACACAAGTCCGTTTCTCCATGGATTCTATATTATCCGCGACAAAAGATCCTCAGTCACGTAAAAGACATTTATCTTTACAATTGGATGATGATGAAGAAGTTGTTCATAAACGTGTTGCTCGAGGAGATTTTGGATCCGATTCCTTTTCTGCTAGCTCACGAGAAGTAAGCTATTCTCGTGAGCCTTCAACGTCTTCAACTGAAGATGTTAAGCCAGATCATGAAGAGGATGAAGAAGATGATCTCGACGATGACTTAGATGAAGAAGAAGAAATTCCTACAGCTGATTTTGTAAATTCTGAAGACTTCAAAGAAGATTTGAATGGCGAAGAGTCTTCTGTTACGGATGAAAGACATGATCCATCTGGAGGACTGTCAGATGATGAGTCGTCCAGGTAATACTTTCTTTCATTTTTTTTTTCCAAATATGAACAAAGTCTTTTATATTACACTTATTATAATTATTACAGTCCATGTACAGTAACGTCGCCAGCTAATAGTGCTTCTGGAGCTGATCCAACAGGTCAAATGACATCAAATTCTGATAGAAAATCCGGTGGAATGTCATCTCATCGTTCCAAATCAGATGGTTCCAAGCCACCATATAGTTATATAGCTTTAATAGCTATGGCTATACTCAATTCTCCAGAGAAGAAGCTGACTTTAAGTCAAATATGTGATTTTATCATCAATCGCTTTCCTTATTATCGGTAAGTTCTAGCTGTCTGCCTTTCCATATTGCTTTTCGAACTCAAAACATCATAATTCTAATCATAACTTGTTGTATGGCTTTACTGATTGAATGTTTTTTTCCAGAGATAAGTTTCCAGCATGGCAGAACTCCATACGTCATAATCTGAGTCTGAACGATTGTTTCATGAAGGTAAAGCTTAGTTCTAATTCAATATCCAAATATAGGATACACATTCCAATACTGAAATGATAACGAAAAACTTATTTTCAGATTCCACGTGAACCTGGAAATCCAGGTAAAGGTAACTATTGGGGACTGGATCCCAAATCAGAAGGAATGTTTGATAACGGATCATTCCTTCGACGACGAAAACGGTAAATGATTTTTTCCCATAATTCTTATTTGATTAGCGAAAGAAATTAGATAAAAAAACATTATTTCATCATTTCGGCGTGTGACTTCTATCAAAAATCTTTTTTTTTTCCTTTTTCAACCATTTCCATCAAGTTCTATCCGTCTCCATCCCCCCCCCTCCACCCATCCATGCATAGCGAGTAACAGGCAACGAGAGAGAGCGAGTTGTAATGTAAATAGAAGTTTACAAACTGCTAGTTTGCATATAGTTAGCCTAATGATAAAAACTATTCTCTAATATAATCTATGATGACCTTTTATCATTACTATATCAACCACAACATGTAAATGCAGATAATTTCTCAGTCTATTTACCGTAATCAAGACTGTGAGAGAGAGAAAGAGAGAGAGACTTCTCGATCTCTCTCTCTCTCTGTGTTGGTCTATTTAATGAAAATTGACTTCTTTTAATTTCTTTTTACTACCCCGGCTATGATGGATGATAATCCTTGGCTAATCCTCTTTCCTTTTTCAATACAATATCATAACTTCAACTATAATAGTACTGACTTTGGCTTAAAGGTGTGAATGATTGTTGATTCGAGCTACCGTATACCATTCTATCGGATGGAACAACAGCCACACATATTCTCGTCTTTTCCCTTTTCTCTCTTAATCAAATAACATATGTTAGACTAAGCTTAATCCATTTCAATATGTCCTGACAACATGCAATACTTTTTTTTATTTTCAATTTTAAAATAAATGTTAGTTTTGGCTTTAAATCCACTCAAGACCCACGTGGCAACTGCCTCATTTGCATATTTTCTGATTCTCATCATTCTTGATACGTGTTGACGCATGAAGACGGTTGTGCATTTGATTCTCTCATAACATTTCCAAAATAGTTCATTGAGAAATCTTTTATTTTTGTTTTCAATAAATTCTTAGGGAAATTATAATATAATATTTGGGAGAGGGAGTATGTCAAACAGAGAGAGACTAGAGAGAGAGATCGGCTCTGATGGATAAATAACTTTCTTCAAATGCTAATTCGTTTCTTTTTCAGTTTCAAGCGACAACCTGAGAATGGTGATTTACAAGGATTACAGTTTGGCAACTTCTTGCCAGGAATGCCAGCCGCTATGGTTGCAGCTGCAGCTTCGGCGCCACGTGTGCCCATCATGCGGCCAATTTTGCCTGTTGTACCATCAAGCATAAGCACAAACTTGTCACCACCATTACAACCAATTAATCCAGCATCAGCAAATGGACCAACTGCAGCTGCTGCTATGGCCATCGGAGGTCTTGGTCCTCGACATCTCCCCTTCTTTTTCCCCATGGTTAACCCCATGGATCCGCAAGAATTCCTAGCTGCTATGGCACGAATGCAGCAACATCCATCAGCTCCAACAGCATCCCTATCATCATCAGACCTGAATGAAGCTTCCTCAGTAAGCTTGTCTGATTCAAAAGCTGCTTAATATAATTATGAAATGATATTTGATCTGTCAAGACAACATTATCATTTGATGATTCTCTTTCTCTCTCCGCAGTTTCCCATCTTCTCCCTCCTAATGTATTACCATAATTCATTATCAGTCAATAGGAATTGGCCAGGTTCGCTAAAAACGGCTTGGAGTAAACTCTGAAGTGCAATAATAGATATATTTATGCTAATTGATTGAAACCAAGCATCTTCTCTTCATAATTTCCTCCGACCCTATCCCCTCCTACCCTCCCTGAACAACACGTGTATTTCGAATGATCTGACATTGGTTTTTTTCTTTTTTTCTTTTTAAAAGTTATATTATAATCATCTATACATAGCTCTTCGTATTATATATATTTATGTCAAATACCAAACTTCATTTAGCTTTTCTCGTTCACACATACTGTGTTTCTCATGTATGAGTTGAAGCTTTGAGCTTCAAGGTTATATCTCACTCACAAAAAAACAGAAAAACAATTGAAAACAATCCAGAGCTTCATATTCTTCCTCAGTCTTTGCTTCTTTCCACTTGTGTTCCGGTTATATATTGTTCGTTTCCTTCAATTTCTCTTCCAAGTTTTTCTCGTTGGTACCGTATACTTATATATATTATAAATATATGTATAAATGTCTGTTTCATATATATTTTTGATAATATTGGAAGAGTAAGTGAGTGTGATACTTCATTCAGACAGGTACACACACATACACATACACATACAACTACATACACACGTAAACACATAACTACCGTTGCCATCATCATCATCATCACCTTCAACTTCTTACTCATTCCATTCCATAAGTTCCTTCTTCTCCTTCTTCTCCTTCTTCTTCATCTTATTCTTTGACCATTTTCATATTATAACACGACTGACAATAAATTGATTTACTATCTGTTCTTTTCTACATTTTGATGATGACAAGGTCTGGCCCATGTCGGTTGAGATAAAAGGCAATGACAACTGATGTTAGGCAAAGATAGAGACTTGCCTATGAGCTGCTCTTTCTGGATAAAAAGTGTTTTTGATGGTTGTGCCCATTAAAATAAACATAAAATGCGGTTATTAACTATATAATTATATGTATTAGTAGGTGCTTTCTTAACTATGCAATACTATGTGTGAGATAGAGAGGAAGGAAGGAAAAGAGAGAGAGAGGGTGAGATGAAGTAGAAACCCCTACAAAAAATAATTTTTCCATAATCGCCTTTTGTTGATAAAACAGATTAAGAAATGATAGGATTCAGAATGTTTTTCATCATTCCGACTCTCTCTCTACCAACAGAAGCTGTCTGAGAATAATCATTAACCAAATTAGCCGTCTTGACTCCATATTAAGCTTTTGACTGTCTTCATACATTATCAGCGGTCCAGATGAAAGAAGGAATTCCGGTCAATCGGTTATATACACAAAGCAGCTGGTCTTAAGACATCACAACTCTTATCATTATATCAACTGTTTGTTCAGCAGCTGACAATCACTAATGAGCAACTAAAAAAACCTTTCATTCTCATTTTCTCACCCATTCTCCTTAGTGTGAATAATTAGAAATTGATTATTCTACTTCTTTATTATCTATATGATACAGTACATGAGAGGTAAGATAGAGAGAGAGAGTGAGTGAGGGAATGATAGAGTGAACCATCCTCACGTAAACTTCATTAACATATATGTGAATGTTCACGTGGATGCTCACGTCAACTGTCATTTACATCTCTTGTTAGACGTACAGTACGGTTGTGTCCCACTGAAGTAACTAAGAGTGTTTGAGTAGTAAAATGATTTTTTAAAATAAGTTTTCTCTCTCTCTCTCTCTCTTCCTCTCTCTCTATGATATTCAAAACAATGCTATAGATGCTACATTGGGTCTTGTATGTCATTCTTATTGCATTGTTACGACAAATCAGGATACTAAATGTTAATCTAATTAGTGGAATGACAAAGAGAAATATTTATTTGTTAAAAGATTCTTATACTTCTCTCCTTCTCCTTCTTCTTATTATAATTAAAACTATCAACAATATATATATTGAATTCATTGAAAGTTGCTAATAAACCATAACAATCTCGTCCTCTGTCTCTCTTCTCTTCTCAGCTACATGTGTGTGTCGGGTACATGTAGCACTCTCTCTCTCTCTCTATCCATGTGTGTGTATACAGTATATCAACATTTGGAAAATCGAAAAACCATTATGAGACTACAGTATACTGAAGGAACTATTCATATCGGCATAATCAAAGTTTTTTTTTATTTGGTTCACTAAAACATACTTGAAGACTATATCTTTTGGGCTCAACAAGATGTGTTCGGTTGAATGTATACTCTCTGATTCTCTCACATTCAGTTGTTCTTTTCTCACTTGTGAACAGAGCAAGAAGGTTATAGCATGAGAGGTGCTAGTACTAACGATTACGCCATCATCTATTTCCATTTGAAAAGGTTTATGTACTACATCCAGCAAATGAGGATGAGTATCAGTAGCAAGAATCTAAGTCTCTTAACCCCTTATCCTTAGCCTCTTCAAGTCTATAATACCTTATAAAGATTACGTCATCAGATGAGTTGGACACTGTAATTGAGCGGACCTCATCGGATTAACCGACAGATACATGAACTATTTACTATAATACTAATATGTCGAATAATAATTAGAGAGGGGGTGCAAAGAGTGTTAACAGCCACTGCCCACATCGGAAATTCCACTTCAAACTTCAGATGATGTCAGGCTTCTTCCGTTCTCGATTTCAATCTTCTTCTGTTATGTTTCGTATTTTTTGTTCTTTTTCACGTCTCTTATCAGATTCTCAGCTTTTAATCTTAAAGTTTCTTATTGGAACTTGGTCTCATATTCTGCGATAAGCATATGGAGAAGGAATCTACCGTATACCTATGACGATTTGACAATATACAGATAGACATTGTGACAGACAATGACAGTCAAAGAATTCAGTAAAGTTTCTGAATCTATATCATATCGAGAAGTTCACTAATAGAATAGTTAGGGTCAATGAGTAAAGGAAGTTGTGACAGACATGAGTAAAGGAAAGGAAGAGGGGGGGTCAGAGAGATCGTTAGATCTCTCTCTTCTACCTCACATCTCTACAAGTGTGTACTTAATTTCCATAAACATTTACACAAATAGTTGAAGATTATTTCAACATTTCTAGTTTTTCATCGTTTTGTTCATTGATGGGTGAAGATGAAGAATAATTTGATTAGTTCTCTCACATTGAGAAAGACAATGCCTTGTGCATGTTTCGAAGAATCGTCTTAGATGAAGTCACCTCATCCCCTATCTTGCCCTCCTTCTCTATCTTCATGTGTGTCATCAAGAAGTCCCATAGAAGCAGAAACTGTTTTTTCATGTATTCAAAACTAAACTATGCAATCTACAATATTCAGATTGAAAAGATCATATCGAAGGCTAAGAAGCGAGGACAGGATCGTCAGACGTAGTGTGCTCAATGAAGCGAGAAAAACGATGATCCCTATCCAACGATAGAGTTGTTGCCAGAAGACTCTATTACCTTATACGTATGAAGAACAGCTTGGAAACATATCAAAGGGATTGAAAAACAATAAGAGAGAGAGAGGGGGTGAAGAAGAGACATCTATGAAGCTCATGTCAGAAGTTAGAGGTTGAGAGAGAGAAGAGAAGACAATGTTCTTAATTACCGTAAGATAAGAGAGAATCAATAACAAATTAAGAACAAGTTTACGTGATCTGCTTTTAAAACATTTTCTTTTTAAACTGTATTATTTATAATATACAAATACAAATATATGTAAAACATGCCGTGAAAGGGAGTAGAAAGAAGGTTTTGATCTAATTAAATCTAAATATTCACTTCAAACACCGTTTGTCAGACACTAATTCAATTAGAAGAGAGAGAGAGGAAGGGGGGTTTCGAAAGTTTCGTTTTTAGCTCAAGTTCATGACGAAAATAAAAATAATTGTCAATTAAATATATTTCCGACAAAAAAAAAAGTGTTTGGAAGTTCATTTGGGGGGATCGTGTGTGAGACTACGATGAACTCCATTCGATGGACAGCTCTAGTCATCTTCACGTGTGTAAGGGGTGAACAGTCTTCCTCTTTCCGGCTCAACGGCCTATTTTCTGCCTGTCAAATCAAATTTGTGGATGTTCTTATAACATATGATACTATGTTCCATCTTTTGGGTTATTTCCGCTCTCTTCTCTACATCTCGCACTTGCTCATCATCATCATCATCATCATCTCCTTCGTCTTCTTCTATTTCCTCTATAGAAATATCTTGAGGAGTTCATTGCCTTTTTTTTCTCCTCTTCTCTCTCCATATGCATCCACACGTCTGTTCATATGAGCTACCGTATCTATCCGACTATCCCTAATATGGTAGGTCTCAATATAAGATGGACAAATCGTTTGTGACAAGAAATTTCTAGATGACACTCTCGAGAGTTGCCAGGAGAGGGTTAAGATTCGTCATCTGGACATTCTCAAAATACTTTTTTACAAAAGAAAAAGAATTCTTCTGTAATACATAAGGAAGTGAAGAGATAGTGTATGATGTTAGCTTTCCAATTGATCACGAGATTCATTTGAAACATTCATTTCACTGTTTATAGTGTTATATGGAATCAAATAGCAATGCCGCTGTCGTTCTTAAGATAAATTGATGTGATTGAGAGCCTGAATGTCTGGTCCGAAACTCCGAATGAAGACAATCGAATGAACTACACGTTGTTGTAGAACACAGAAAGAGAGAGAGAGAGAGAGAGAGCAAGATGTAGAGAAGAAGGTGGAGGTAGATTATAAAGAACCGAGGGTGGACAAGCATCTGTCGAATTGCTTTCCAATGCAATCAATTTTAATTTGTCAACCGATAATCCACACAGAAGTTTATATTTTGCTGTAACAAGCAAAGCTTCAATAGAATTAACAGTCGATGACTGATGAAATTGAAAAGATGAATGAAAAATGGGAGAAGTAAAGAAAATGTTAGAGCAGATGGACAGTTGAAGGATGAGCAACAGACGATGTTTTAACTATCTGCACACGACCACCCACATCAGTCGCAGCCACTTACTTAATAAAGCTCTTTAGCTTGCCATGTCTTTATATGGAAATGCTATGAATGTCTTTCATTCTCATATTTGAATTGTTAATTGAAGATGGCAGAAGAAATATATTCAAAAAGTTAAAATGAAACAGCTTCTTCCTATATAACGAAACTGTAGTCAACACAACAGATGAGAGATAACATCTGATGTGAACACGGTTGGACATTGATGAACCTACGATACCCACACAGTATTCAACCAAAAATCCTGTTTAAAATCTTTTTTTTTCTTCTCCTTAAGTCTTCTTACTCTCTTAACAAACACAGAATTCGATTCAAAACCGATAATTTCTTAATTTTTTTAATTCAAAAACTGCAATGAGACACACATATATGGTAAAATGGTTCTTTATCTCATCGATAATTGGCCGATGAATGCGTTTGAACGGTTCATTAGATTATCAGCTGAACGGCTCATCTATACATTGCCATTCACAACACACACACACACACTTCCTCCGTCCATAACACTCCTTTTCATTTTGTGAATGACATGACCAACTCTCTAAACTCTCTTTCAACTTTCATCATCATATATCTGTGGGCATGGGAAGGTGGACACCTGTGCTACACAAAAAAACCAGCAGACTATATGAGAATTCAAAAAAAGAGAAGAAAAAGTAAATCATAAATCATTGAAGCAATTTGTAGTTGTGGTGGCCGTTTGACACTATTGAACTCTGTGACAGAAAGCTCATCCGACAAGTTTTATACATCGTCGACAAAGCTTACCGACTGAGCAACTGCTGCAAGTGGTAAGTTGTCTTCACACCTGTTGATGAGACAAATTGCGCAAATTCCGTTTCGGATTCTTTGATATATAATTAGCAAATTGTAATATTGTAAGATTGAACATAAAGTTCGAAAGGTCACAATTAGTTGTTAATAAATTGTAAAAACATAAGTGTAACTGACATAAACGGAGGGGGGGGGGGAGATCCATCTAGCAGCAGGTTATTGTATTGTTCGTTCAAGATGATCAAACTACAATACCATTGGATAGTATATGAGGGTTCTACACAAATCATATATTTCTTACGTATTCAAATTTCACGTGGAAATGACGGAGAAGAAGCATTTCGAATGTGAATGAACGTGAAGAGCGGTTGTGTCAAAATAACCGAAACGGTTAAAACGTGTTGAAAGAGTAGAAGGGGAATGGTTCTGATATGGATATGTCATATAATGTTTGAATTCTAATTAAATATTTGCATAGTAAGCCATAAAAAGAAGTCATTAAATGTTGAAGGATGTGAATGTATGCTATCAATTGATAAACAGAAGCTGAATGCTACTGTGCAACATACATCGGACCTAATCATTTCATGTGCATCAACTCATTAGAAACTGAGTAACAAGTATCAATTGTTAGAATAACAATTCAAATCTTCATTCAATGCTTCAAACCAATGATGATTGTTCAGCTGATCACTAGCTACTGTTGCATCGTTGTGAGATCTTTTAAATTCCGTTATAACATTGTTTAATTGATAAAATGAAATTGTAAAACTGTCAAAATGATAAGAAGCAATACGCAACGAGCAAAAAGTAAACTTTAATAAATCATCATAAACTATTTATAACATTATAAATATTATATAATATCTCACAGCCAATACATTTGGGGGGATGTTGTACTTCCTAATAAGGACTTGTTGCTTCATTCAAGTGTTTCATTCTGCTCAGGTTGATTTCAATGTGATTATCCTGACCAACTTGCTGGCTCTGCTATCTATCTTTCCCGAACTGTTCTATTCAATGATGTTGTATGCGAAACCATTCTCATGCCAATCACAGATGTATAGCTTGTAGTTTGAAAGGGAAGAATGAGATTTGAAGTTTATGAGTAGGGATAGGAGAGTTCTCAAATAAAAAAAAGACATCTCGGAGCATCCTCCTATCAAACCTCGCACTTTAATCTACCGTAGTCAATTGAGCAAGATATGTAATCAAATTAGAATTATAATAGAATAGAAGTCCATTATAAAGCCTTAAAAATCCGTCATTACACTCATCAGCTGACACCTACATTCCCATAAAACTACAATTTCATATGGTTTACATAGATTTTTATATTTGTTAATTACTTTTCCGACAAATTATTTTCACACACACACAGATACACTCACTCATCCATAAAGTTGTTGTCGATTGATTAGCTATTTAGCAATTTGCCATTTCGTCTCTTCTCTCCTTCATCTAGATCATCAGAAGTTTATGGCTTCTGTCTGTCTTTAAACTCACTGGGAATCTTCTCAAAGCAGCGCCACGTTGTCTAATCCGCTATGTCACAAATCACTTTCCACCACACAAACTTCATATAAATTCTCAGACAAAACGAAATATTTTCCTCTACTAACTGTCATTTGTTAACTACGTAAACATTCATTTCTTCTTCTTCTCTTTTCTGAGGGTAAAATAGATTTTCGTTTATCTTAGCGGAGGGACAAATCAACTTCTAAACCTCATCAGGACATCAACAACCGCTCAAGCTCTATCAAACCAACCAAATGACTCACTGTCATGGATTTCACGTGAACAAGGTCATAACCACAACTCATCCAAGTCTCTCAATTGAAATATCACAACCTTCAGAATCCTCCGTCAGAATCAATACTCAACATCAAAACGTCATAATCCCATTCCTTCAAGTAATCAAAGAAGACAAGTCAAACTATCGTTTTGAAACGTTTATCAATCCACTTCAATCTATCATACATGCAAATACACGAAAGAGTCAAACTCACTAATATTATAAAATCCAACCTACATTTTCGTAAAACATGCGAATGGTTTAAATACACTACAATAGGTAATCTGATCAATTTAGCTGTTAGGAAGTGAGTCTATAGTTTGAGATCAATCTATTACAAACAATATTTTAAATATGCATATTTTGTAAGAAGTTTCGAGTGAAGGTTACTCCTTCAATTGGCTTTTCATTCAGCCGAGGCAGTTGACTAGATTCGGCAGCACGGGTAAAAGCTCTATTAATATCGGATTGGTCGAAAACTTCCATTGGCATACTAGAAATCAACATTCAACTTCTTCATCTTCAATCATCAACCTCACCTCTGATTTAGATTAAATCCGCGTCCAGAAACTGCATATGAACGGAAACGGGTAGAGCCTCCACAATCTGAGGACATATTCTCCTGAACATGTCAATACATCAAAGCATCTACAACTTCGAGATTACCTTATCATTTCCAAAATCTCTGATTCTTCCTTTCTGTTGCAAAATAACAGGATTAGTTATTTTATGGATAAATTGGCATCTGAACGAAATCAATGAACAAATCCAAAATACAATATCAACTGACCTAGCACCATACTTGCAATGGCCGGTACTGGAAAATTTGTCACACAAAACTGTCTTGTATTTTGGGTGATTGCGTCCACGAGGCTAAAAAGCAATGAAATCAAGAAATCAAACGTGTAGAACATACTTGGGTTGGAAGACGTAATTCATCAACTCCATGGGCAAACCTGCAGCCAGTAGCATAAGAGCATTCTCCTGTGCGTCTATAAGACTCGCACAAAGCTGTTTTGAAGGCATCTTCCTGAAACCAAATGAGTCCATTCATCCTCAAGATTCAAACTCTACTTTTCTTTTCTTTCTTAAAAGGATCTCTCTTTCATCATCAGCCAATGTGCAAGGATCCTGGGCAATAATAGCGCTTGTGACTGAGCGATCGAATTCCTTTTGGAACATTACATCACGGAGTGAGAGGGAATGAATGAATTGCTATAACTTTTTATTCTACCTGAATCTTGAACTTGAAAAAACGAAACCTGATCAAATCCTCCAATCAAATCTGGAGGGCATGTTTGGTTCATTTGGTCATCCATCTCATACATTGACTCGGTCAACTTATCAAACTCAGTCTTCTTGGAAGGGATCATAAGCAGTTTCTCAGACATGTTAGTAGTAAAGCTGAAAGGTGTGATTGACTGAGAGAAGAACTGAGTTGTTATAACAAAGATAAAACAAGCATAGAACAATGAGATATGTGCTTGAATGAATGAGGAACATATAGAACACTGCCATATAAAGTTATATCCTTACTATCAAGGCGCCAAACTTTGATCTTCTTTTTGATCTAAAAACTACCAAGATCATTCAAACCAAGATCGTTTGCCACTTTCTGAGTCTTTTTGATCCGTTCATCTGTCAACAACTTTTATAAAGAAAGATGTTTAAAGGTTGATCAAGAAGAGATAATCAGAAGTGCAGATGCCATCAATGGTCTTCTGTCTTACTTGAAAAGCTGTAGATGAAGATCTTCTGCTTTATCTCAACTTCTTGAACAGTATGAGAGATTCTAATACTTCAGATCGCTGACTGATTCCAATGTTTTTTTCTGTGTGGAATGCATGATTTGAAATTGAAAGTGTTTATTCAGTTCATTGTGTACAAGTAGAAGTATCATCGGTACATAGGAGATCATTGAGAGGTAGCATCTATGCTCTAAGGATATGATGATCTGGCTATCAATAAGAGTTTAGCGTGATCATTTCCCAGCCAAACATTTCCCTTGTCGTCAGTGTCATATCCATGTCTCTGAAAAAAAACCAATTAGTTATATGTAAAGCAGATTCAATGTTCACCTTATAATGATCTACATAAGAAGGAGGAGATGGAGCTGCTGTCGTAGGTTGTTGGAAGTTGAAGTTGAAAGGGCTGAAGAACCATTGTCCATATACAGATAGGATCATACAGAGGAGGAAGACGATTAGAACTTTGGACATGTTGAAAAGTTTTGAAGTGGTGAACCAGATATCGTTTCGATCAAATAGATACCTTATATAGTCGGGAAGAGTTTGACCGGGCACTGATCAAATGATATCAATGGCTTCTTGAACATTATTTCACTGAAAGAGACAGATAGCTTTTTATTTCTTGACGATCGAAAAGGTGCGCACCTCTGATCGCTACTCTGTAGAAGTCATTTCCCAAGTATGAGAAGATCAAACGGAAACTGGAAATCATTTGGTTAACACTAGGTTTATGATATTCTTCGTCTTTCATTTATGTTCCTTCACGCGTGTTCTTCAACTTCTGATGTCTTTTTCCGGTTCTATTTAAACTCACATTGTAAAATGACCAAAAATAGCTTTCTTCGCAGAATGATAAGTCATCTGTCTGGGTTCACGCAATTACTTGACATCATTCAGTTGCTGTCCTAGTCAGCCCAACCTATTCTATTAAAGCTTGCAACTCATTCGACAGAGTGCCATTGGCCTTCTTCTTCAAGGTTCTATACAACCTTCTAAGTGCAATAACCAGTAACCAGTTGTTGAACTGGTTTCTATTCGGCAAGAGTATTGATTATGAAAACCCTCATGTAAAGCTATATATGTATATATATGCTTCTATGTTCTCATTAACTAATATTCTCAATTCGAGCCTTGAAGGACTTGAGAAATGCTTACTGCATTCGTTATTCCTTCATCACTAGTCTATGAGTTATGGAAACGATGTGCATGCTATTTACAAAGCAACTGCGCTCTTGGTAGGACCATGTGCGCCCTAGCTCCGCCCATTCAACATCATCTGATCCTTATACTAAAATCATTTTTTTGTTATTATTTGTTGTAATGTTTAATTTTTCCGACTCGAAGAAGTACAGAAGCGATAAGATGAATTCTAATGATCTCAACGGTGGAAAAGGTAATTTGTTAAAACGTGTTCTGAAATGATAAGCTTTTATAGAGTGGGGCTCCTCTTATGGAAGTTCTTATAATCCGATGGAGCATCGTCAAGTTCATCCAAATCAGAACCATCATGCATACAATCACAATCATCATGCCCAGCATAATCAGCAACATATGCCTTATATGTCGCAACAACAAATTCGTAATCAACGTAAATCACTTCCTATCTTTCGGCAACTGATAACCATGTTCAGCTTATCAAGGATGTAATAGTATTCAACTCAATCCGAATGCTGAAGTCTTCGTTCCACGCGGAAATTATCAACAACAAACGCAGGTACGTGAAGAAGAGATGACAGAAGAAAAGAAAATAGATGAAAAGTCTTGGCGAGAAGCAAAACTTCATGTTTTCAGTACAATGATTACTACTCTAACAATGGCCAGCAGACATATGGGAATAATCAGCCCAACTATTTTCAAAACTATGTAAGTTTGTCTGTTAATCCTTCGATGTAAACTTGTGTGAACGTGTCCTTCTCCGCAATGTTTAACGAAGCGCTCAAATTTCTCACAGTCAATCGTACAATTGTCATTTGAACTACATATTTTCTCGAAAACATTCAGTTACGATTTTCCATTTATATTCAAACAACTTGTTAGCATGCGAAATGAGTTGCAAGCTGTTTTACAAAGTTCGTTAACGTTACTAGAAACCTCCTGATAAGTTTATCGATTGATTCAGTGCAGGATTTTTCATTTTTTTCTTCTGCGGATGCTGCGCTCGGTTGTGCTCATTTGTTGTTCACCACGTATTTCCACATTTATTTGAGGAAATATCAGTTGAAAGAAATATTATGATAGATTGTTCCGATGTTGATTTGCTCTCTAATGCAAACTGTTGGAAATCGATAGAATCGGTGGATAGTTAATTTCTCCGACTAGCCATCATATTTTCACTTGTTCTCCTCTCTTTTTGTTCGGCGAACACTCGCTCATGTTTTATTGAAATTGATTTTTTACTGAATGTTTTCAGTCCTCTAATAACATGACCAATTACGACAGTGAGGAAGCAGCTTATGAGGCTATGTATGGACAGGTATTTTCTTTTATTTTATTTTTATAAATATCCAAATTTTTAGTTCGGATGCGATGTTTCCTCCGCTCTTTTCGTTCCTTCTCACGATCTCCAGTATTTCATACGTGAGAGCAAAAACTCCATGGAGTTGAACGAGGTATTATGCTTCTACCATTTTCTTCAAGATTCTTTTTTGTTCCAGATTCAAGTCGGCTTGGAGCAATTGATTTCTGATGATGATTTTGAGTCTTGGAGTGGAGCCATCAAAGAGAGGATGACCTGTGCCAACATGACCAACGAAAGCCGGATTTTAGCAATAAAAATTGCGTGTGAAATGGTTTTTTTTATTTTGTAACTTTTCGTTTTTCAAATCTCTTTGTAGGCCACTGCTGTTTCTCCTGAAATGACCAGAGGTGCAGCTCCTCAGTACACGTTTGCACGTTTACTTGCTTATCTTGCCGATGAAGTAATTGCTTTACGAAGATGTTTTAATGATGATTTCTTGCAGATTCCCGATTTCATAGCCAAATGCATCCTTCCCACAGTAGAATCGTTGCATTCAAGCAGATACTCTCGAGATATCGCAGGAAAAGGAGTTCTCTTGATGTTCTTCGCTGAGCTTTTCGTCAATCTAAAAACAGTTAGTTTATGGAGGAGAGCAAACTCACTTATCCCAATTCCCAGAACAAAGGAACTGCTGTGAAACCTCTTGGTCTTGCAGTTTTCGGACAGATGGAAGAAATAATAAAAGTTGGTCTACCTATCCTATCGTTCTCATTTTAGTTTCTAGGATTCCGTCTGTAACGAAACCATGTCGGTTATTATTCAAGTTTTGAAACTTTCTGGTAGTGAACTGGATACTATTGATGAAGGTCAAGAAAAGATGAATCAAATTCTCACTAAACTTAATGGATTTGTAAATGGACATCGTCAGTTGAGTGAAACTATAAAAGCCAGAATTTCTGATGTAATTGATACTCGTCAGCGCGGATGGAACAAGGGCCGAGTATGTTTCAAGCTGTTACTCTGATATTTTTCTTTATTTTTCCAGTCCGGTACCGGCTCTTCAACCTCGTCATGTGTTTCTGCTCCACCAGGATCTTTCGTTGGCCCTGATGGAAAGGTTATTGACTTCACTGAGGAAGAGAGACTATTCTTGGAACAACAGTTTGCTGATATGGATAAAGGTGTGATATCTTCTTCTGCCCAGTATCATTTTGATTCATTAAGGCAAGTCGGATGAACCCAACATTGACATGAATGACGTTATGGACGAGTTCGGAAAATTCGTTCAGGAAGAGAAGCTTGGAATTGCAACAGATAAAGCTGCTGAATGTCTGGGAAAACTTTTGTTACAAAAGGATGAAGATGAAGGTATCGAAGAAGTTAGTGGGATGGCTTAAGAGTTGTCATTTCAGATAAAAAAAGCGAAAATAAAGAAAGCGAAAGTAAAGAAGCTTCTATAGATATTCCAGCTGGAATACAGAAAGAAGCTGAGACTGACAAAACTAACTAGAAAAAACTTTCCAGAAGATTGTTGTTTCTCATTCCTTCGTTTACCTCTATTTTAGCTCGTTACGTATGTCATTTTAGTCTTTATTTAGTGATCAGGAGGTTCGGGTAGATGGTTAAATTTTGAAACATTTGCTAATTTAATGCTACTTGTTTTTATTTTATTTTGATATTGGCAAAACTGTATGGTGCATCGCTTGTGATCTCTGCAGTTATCTGATCTTTGTATAATTTGATTGTCATTGTGACCACCCTGTAATAAATAGCATTTCAATTTAGTTAACCATATCCCCAATGGTGTTATGAACTCAGCAGTAGCTATCTTGTATTCCACCAAAAGCATTTTATATTTCTTTTTCAAGTATTGTGATGCGGATGTTCTTGTGAAAAAATGGGTGCATTTCTCCTAACGTTCGAGCTTTTTTTAGTTTTCATTCTTACTTCGTACTTGCTTAACAAGGTATGTTCTCTTCGCTCATCGCTTCCTCATGTTCAGTCCTCTCTTTAAGTATGGAAACTGGCGAAAGCAGCATATAGTTGTTACCTTATCAACGTTTATTGGGTGGTTTTTTTCGTTCACAATTATATTCGTTCTACCTCTCGATGTTGCCATAGTTAGTTATTTTGTTTTCTGGAAAATGTTGGAGCAACCGGTCTTCGTCCGCAATTTTTTAAAAATGAAAAGCTCATGCAAGTTCACGTTATCACGTGAGCAAAAAGAGCCTTCATTCTAATTTCCCTCGGAACTTCCACACGTTAATATTTTACAGACTTTTTATAATAAATGCGAACTGAATCAAAAAATCTCTAATTTTACCGACACGTGTGAACAACCGGACGGATTTGTACCGGACGATGTTCTCTTACGTCTCTGGAGAGTTGTGTACTGGACTGCACAAGCTCTGACCTGGTCAGATTAATAATTCCCATTGATCAGAATAATAATCACGTTTAGGATCGTGCTTCCTTTGCTACAATCTTATTCAAATGTCGGAGAATTCACAAGTGGTGCTCGCTTTAGATCAGCACTCTTGAACAATATAATTTATTATGGGATCTATGCTTTCATATTTATTATGCTTCTGTTTTATGCAATGATAAAAGGAGTAGTGATCAATAGGTTTGAATCACTTCGATTTGGACTTGTGAAATTCTCTTTTACAGCGAACATTTGAAAGTAATTTTAGTATCTGCATCCAATACTTGGGGATTGTTCCTGTTAGTTCTTCTGCTGGGTTATGGACTTGTTGAGCTACCTAGAAGCTTATGGCATAAAGGGAACACAGGTTTGACATTTTCATTCCTCTGGGTATTATTTATGTTGTTCAACAGTTTATCGACTCAACAGGACTTACTTCAACATTGATAAGTTGTCATCAGAGAAGAGTGAAGCTGAAGATAATCTGAAACGTTTGTACAGGTTGGATTTCTGAGTTAATATGTCTCATAACTCGTGATGCTATTATAGGGAATCTAGGAAAGTTTTAAACTCGTTACAAAACGAACATGGAAAACGAGAAAAAGCTCAAATAATTCTCTCTAAATTCTCTTCAGAGGTAGAACATCATAATGTTGCTTTTCTTCCATTGTTACGTTCAGGTGTTAGATGAAATATATCCTGTGAGAAGTGCTTCAGAGTTCTCTGGCGTAGCTGACGTTGGTTCAGTGGCCAGTGATAAGTATTTGGTATTTTTCCTTGTTGAACTCTTTCAATGGATATATGTTTTTCAAGGTATCTCTCCATAAGCAGGTCATTGCTGCCGTTCAAACACATCATCGAACGAAAACGCAGTGGGAGTCTCTTGTTAGCAAAGCTTTATTCATTGAAGACATTGCGAAAGCTCAATTAGGAGGAAGATTACAGCCTAGTTCCAAATCTGTTATACCATCCCCTCTTCAACATATATGGTACATCCAGTTCCGAAAGCCACTGATGAGGGTGAGTGTGCAAGCACAATATAGCTTTTAAGTATCATTTTTTTCACAGGTTTTCGCTTTCATCCTTTCTCTCATGACAGGTTTCATTCTTTTGTCAGAATGTACTTTCTTCATCATTCACCCTACTCTGTCTCCGGCTGCTCTCATCATGGAATACGCTGCTGAGCATTATCACTACAAATACACTCAGGTAGTATGATCTGTAATAGCTTTTCTCATGCTTGTTTTCAGTTTGTTGCGATGGGAATTATCTGTTATCTGTGTTTCTGTGCTTACTTCACAGTTTTCCGTCTCAAAATTTACAAGTACTACCACTTGGATTCGCATAAGAACACGGATGAGAACAGTTTGCTATTCAGTGCAATGTGCGCTCCTTCCTTTATTCGGTTCAAAATGTGTGTTCAGCTTGCTTTGTCGTTTAACTCCACCAATTTGTTTGAACTTCCTTGGTATGGTTCACCTCGATTCGCACATAACTATGGTCAAAGATTACGGGGTTGAGACACAGTTCACCAAGGTGCATCGGTGAAGCTTTCCTATCATTGTTTATGTTTCTTTTCAGTTGATGGGACATCTGGACGTCATTCCAATTTTAGCGAAAGGAATCAACATCTATCTCCCGATATGCATTCTCATATTCTGTGCCGCCAACTATTACAGGTTAGAAGGGAAGTGCTTACATCAATAAGATTATTTCTTCAGACTCACGAGCTATATAATGCATAATTTGGGTTTCGATCAATTCATTACTGATAATGAGTTCACCCAGGTATATTCTCAAGATCGAAGATTGTTTGTTCATGTTAACTTCAAGGATATGATGAGTGCTGGAAGAGCATTGGTCCAGCTTGAGAGGAACAGTATGCAACGAGCTGTTAATCGCCAATCGAGAGAAGATCAACGACGGGATCCTAAATCTCCTTTCAATCGTAAGAATATGCATTATTTTTATTTTGAAACAATATTTTCAGGAGTTCGTAGAGATCGTATCGATGACGACCGTATTCCAATTGTAGCAGCAGCGGCCGACGAGGACTTGGAGACTGGATTATTATTAGATTATAACGATGAGTCCAACTTCAGAAGTCAAGAGCGCAGTCCTTTCAAGCAACATCCGTCTCCTACTAACTTGTTCGATGATCTCTAGTGTAAATAGTTCAACTAGTAATTAGTCACAATCTTTAATAATGATAATTTATATTCCTTATCTGTTACGTGTCTATTGGATACTCTTACTAACTATCGGGGTTCTCTGGTCTTTACATACCAATCACTGTGGATAGTTCCGTTCTAGTCATAAATTTTTTTCCTATTTGTTATCCTCGGAAGATTTCGTTAATTCGATCCTACCTGCCAGGTTCTCGTTGATAGTTTATGGATGTTTCTTTTAGAAGTTATGAGTGTACCTCTACCAGGAGAAGGCATTCCTCTTGAGGAGCTATTCGGTAATCCTTTCCACACAAAGAAAGAAAGAAAAGCAGAGCAAGTGAGTTTCAATTGCTTCCTTCGTGAACATACTTAGCTTCAGCCGTTTGAATACATACCTTCCTCGTATGTGTTACTGATTGATGAAATGATTGGGTCACGAACAAGACCATGGAATCCAGAGCGAACTCCCATCAAGCCCAAACAGGTCTGAGAGTTTCCCAAATCCATTGATATAGTTACTTAAGATGTTATCACTACCAGAGATGACCAAGGAAGAGATGCTCATTTCGAGAGCTATGGAGAATTGTGTTGTCAAAGCGACAATCTCAGGAGTTCTTGGTTATGGAGTGGGTGCGTTACTTCTCTAGCTTCATATGAGTGATTGTGATGTGATTCTGTTAGGTATGGCGTTCGGTTTGTTCACAGCATCAGTTGATCCTTCTCTAAGTATGGTAGGAGGAGATCCCACCAAACAGGTATTGTGAAACGACAAAAATACATTTATTCATATAATTTCAGTTGGGTTTCAAAGAGACCTGGAGAGAGATGAGAGGACGAATGTTCTCTTACGGAAAAAACTTTGGTTCCATCGGTCTGATGTTCTCTGGTAAGCTAGATGAAGTCTTCGTTTTCTTATTTTAATCAGGAACCGAATGCATACTGGAAACCGTAAGAGCCAAGAGTGACTGGAGGAATGGCACTTACTCAGGAGGTATGTTGCGTTTTTGTTTTGACCTAACTGATGCTGTTGAAGGGATTGTGGGAGCTGTGCTTGGATTGAGAGCCGGGATAAAGCCAGCAATGTGGGGAGCTGCTGGTTTCGCAGCGTTCTCTACGCTCATCGACCATTATATGAGAGGATAACCGTTATAAAAGAATAGAAGACTTCGTTATGTTAGATTTAGATTAGTTTCATACTCACCTTATCTGCTTTGTTGTATTTGTTACTTGTTGAACGGGTATCCACTAGTTCAAAGATGAAGTTTTGCAATTTGTTATCTTTTTTCTTTCCGGAACTCTTTCGTCTCGTTTTCCACGATCTAGTGTCATTATAAGGTCATCCTAGGAACCAAGTGATCGTCTGAGGGTACTTAAGAGAACAGGATAATTCATTCTACTGATTTCAGAAAATTCAAAGCAAATGTTCTATGTGTGTGTGCATCTCACAGTAGAGAGCACTGGAGATGCATGCATGATAGTCCATCTTCCAAATTCAGGAGAGTCTCTTCATCCGAAAACTTTTTTTTTCTTAGAATTTCTTATAACATTATGAACTACATTTTCATGATTACAAGCAATCCTTAAGTAAATTATGGTTGACCCGGTGATAAATGATCTCAACCACCTCTGCTCTAATGATAACAGATATACGTAATCTCTCCTAGGTTACTGTAATTGAACACAGCTTTTCGATCACGCGCTCCATGTTTTCGAAATTAATTTGATTATGCTAATTTCATTTCGTTTTATTTTATTTATTTTTTCAGTTTGTTTATAGGTATAACAACGACGATTATGGAATTCTGAGAAAGACGTTCGCTAGGAGTCTTGACGTGGTAGCCGTGGTTTCAGATATCTCCAGTTCATTCCAAACGTTCTGAAATAAGTTCAGAAGTTGTATGTTGAAGGTATGGCTTTTCACGATCTGTCCTACTTCACTCATAGTACTTCCAGCAATTTATTTCCTAAATGTGTTTGTTACATAGTCCATAATAGATTTTGGGTGAGTCGGATAGTTCGTTAGTTTGTAAATGCTGAGTTTTATTTTGTTTAGCTCATGCATAGGTTGTTCTCAAGACAACGACTGTGGACAGTTGGAACTTTCATGGCTGTGTATATTCAGGAAAACGTTTTTTTGATTGAGTTCGTGTTGCCACAATGTTGTTTCGATTGAGCAGACACGTGACATCAACTGGTTATAGGGAAGAGAAGGTTACGGTTGGAAGCTTGGTAGGACTCATCCAATAATGTTATTCTGTGAATTAAGACTTCAAGTCCTCCCTAGTACGATCATAGCTTCAACAACCGAAATGTTCTCACTTCATAGACGAAGATGAATGATGAATTGGGACGGTAGGCTTTCAGAGTTTCTTTGAGATGTTG